TTCTAAGAAGATGTTCGGCAAAATCAGGTTGGAAGCCATTGAGGAGCCCGTAGGGAAAAGTGTTTAAGAAACCCGTCCTGATAGGCTGAATTGCGATTTAAAAAATCATTGATGCAGAGATATCTGAATTGTCGGAAGAATTCTCTCTTCTCACATAACGGACTTGGCCCCTCTAAAAGTATTCAACATGAGGTTAGATTCTAAAATTCCCAGTTAAGCGTTACTTTTAGAAGTATAGAAGAATTTAGAAGAGTCCATAATGCAGACTCCGAAACTGCTTTTAGTCTTTGAAGGCAAAAAGCAAAAAAACTGTGCACTAGAAACCACGTGACCAGCCTGTAACACTTCGTCACCGCCGCGCCCACGAGACTGACATCCGCCCATGCGGGCAGCAAAATCGGATTAGTCCGTCGATCGATGAGGGGCAGGCCAGTCAGTACGCTGACTTACGAAAGCCACAAAGGGGGCAAAGGTCACAGGAGCCCACCAGCGGTCAGTCAGCAGCGAACAGGCAGGTCGAAGTTCATGCGCCAAGCATGGATTGCAATACCAGGCCGCGACAATTTGCAGCTGAGAAGCTATCGCGAAATTTATTGATATCAATAAATCCTTTTCGTTTATGCCTGCTTTAAAAATCACCCAATTACTCTGACAATGGAACCGATCGAATGTCTGAAACGTCAGTCTCAACATAATTCAGTCCATGTCCTCTTTTCTACTTCTTCATCTTCTTTGAGGGATGCTGAAAACGATGATCTCTCGTATGCATACTTTGATAGGGTGCAGGATAGAAAATCGACTTGTAAACGTTAGATTACCGCGTGTCGTTTTGGTAAAACCCAAAGAAAACGATCGGTTCGAGGTGAAGTGTGTAGATTACTCATATGCTTCCGTCAATCGCTGGTGATAATGGAATTTTTTTAAACACTGCAGACACTAAGAATTGATGCTTGCTGGAAAGGCTCTCGCGGGGGATAAAGTAAGTTAAACCCTGGCAACCGCGATCTTCAGGCCCGGTTCCTCAGGAGAAGAGAAGCCATGAGAAGACCAGAGTGGAAGAAACAACACATTCTGCAAAGAATGAAGTGGAGAATAGGAAGTGGGAAATCGACCATCAGGCGACCGCACAACTGCAAGCCAGCAGACGGTATCTGCTGGTCACTACCAGAGCGTAGGCGATTGCCGGAAACCCAGGGCAGGCTTTGTTACTCCTAGGGAATTCGAACTTTTTTGCTCAGCACTCAATCTGGGTTTGTGGAAAGGGTCTCATTCCACCAGGCGTACTTCGATTGCAACACAGCGAACTCGCTCATTTGAGTGCCTACCAAGAGCACCTTTTTGATAGTACTGCAAAACTCAAATAAGTTAGACAAAATGTATTAACGCCACCCCAACATGTTTTAGATTACAAGGCCTTCGTCCTCCAATTCAAACGACATGTACGGCGGACAGCAAGACAATACTGTGTATACGCGATTTGGCCTTGCGTCACGTGTCATCACTGAGGTAAGAGGTGTTCTGTCCTGATAATATAACATTATACACCCCCAGGAAATGTTAATCTCTGTCTTCGTACTTGCCCTGTCTTTTTGCAATTTTGAACTTGTTGCAGTCTTAACCAATGCAAACCTGGTGTGAATTTAGCTGG